GTTACACCACTGTCTGTCTGAAGTCCCGAAGCCTGCATTCTCCTGTATGAGTATCTTCTCCCCAAGAAGAGAAGAAGGAGAATAGGGAAATGGGTGTGGGATTGAGGCAGGATAGAAAGCTAGGGAAAGTTAAAGGGACATTGGACGGAAAAGGAGCCCTTCAGGCTGGAATCTGACCAAAGCTTTTCACAGCTGATAGTCAAGAATTGTTGAATAATTAATGTTTGCTATGAGTGTGGTCACTGTCATAAGAGACAGAATTACTTTTTAAAAACCATTTATTCATGTATTTTATGTGTATGAGTGCTCTGTCTTCATGCACACCAGAAGAAGGAATCTGATCCCATTACAGCTGGTTGTGTGAGCCACCATGTGGTTGCTGGGAATTGAACTCAAGGACCGTTGGAAAAGCAGCCAAGTGCTTTTCACCACTGAGCCATCTCTCCAGCTCCGACAATGTTACTTTTATATAGAGATGTTTCAAATAAGGATGTCAAATCGCAGCAACCTCATGATTCACTGATGTAAAGGCCTTCCTCACCCCCCTTCCCGTAAACCCATAGTCTTTTTAAGCATCTCTTTGGGATCCCCATCCACAGTAAAAGACCTGTCTTAACCTCTGTCTTAACGCCCCTTTGTGGCGTTTCTGTTTTGTTTTAGATGGTCTCAAGTAACCCCAACTGACTTCACAATCACTACACAGCTGAGGATGGACCTTGACCTTCTGACCCTGGGCCTCCTCATAACCCATATAGTTCTATTGTATATAACTGCAATCCCATACAAGGAATTGGAGAGCCATCCTATAATCTCAATTGGGAAAAGGGTGAGAGGAGAGAGGAGAGAGAGGGAGAGAGAAGGAGTTTCCTAGCAACCGTTTGGAATGTAGCTTGAGAGCTGTTGAAATTTTGACTACAGCTAAGATGCTGAAGCAAAACTCTCTGGAGAAGCCTGTACCTATGCTTGGGCATGTCTTATTCTTTTCCTGAGCATCTTTCAATGAACTCCTGTTCTGGCGGGGCACCTGTGTTGGAATCTACAAGGCTGACTGATTATAATTGTGGAGATCTGGGGTACTGCAGATCTTGGGCTATCTTGGGCTATCTTTAGCCCAATCTCTTTGTTTGACCTAACGATATTGTAAGATATTAGATATGGGGTAAAAGCCTCAGGCTATGAAGAATTGAGTCAGGCAGTAGCAGGCAATAGCCACTAGCCATAAAGAATAGCTTAGTACAAGCCTGATGGATCTGCTCCATCCATGGAAACAATATGCCTGGGTATGGAAAACAACCCACCCTGCTTCCAGTCAAACTCCAAAAAATAGCTGTAACTGCCTGGAAGCTGTATCTATCTATATAGTTATATATATATATATATATATCTATATATATATATATATATATATATATCATATCTATATCTATAATTATCTATAACTGTCCCCAGCCCCTCCAAGTATGCTCAATCTTTATCTTACCGAAAGACTAAGACCCCTCAATGTTCCAATAAAGCAGTCTCAGCCTGTCTTACATCTGGTGCTGAGACCCGGAATCCTTTTAGGGTACACTGGGCAGAGACCCTGCCTTCTCCCTTCCCTGGGGTCATTCCTACAGCAGCAGGAACCCCTAAAATAAGGCTCACTATATAGGCAAAACAGCCACCAACCAGTTCAACCTGACACCTCTGGTATTTTGTGGCTTCTGCCTCCATTAGTAGTGCACTCAATTAATGCTTGCTGGGTTTCAGCCATCCTGGTAAGAGACACCTATACTCCTGTTACAAGTGTGGATCAGGTTCTGGAGGCTACCCATGGGATTTCCATGTCTTTTCCATGAAGGTGGTTGACTGGCCACACACACTTCTGTGTAACATGTCCTGATCCAACCTTGGCCTTGTTGGGCCAGTCCCTCAGCATGGGGTTTTCTCATGGTAGACAAGAGCCTACAAAATCTTTGTTTCAAGCTGCCGGGCTTTTGTCTCAAGACAGGAGGGTGAGGAGGAAGCCGGCCATCTTGGAAGTTCACCACCTTTATTTCCTGGCCACAGGCCCTCTCAAGATCTTTCCTGCCTTTTAATTCTTTTTAAAAATAATTTATTTATTCTTATCTTATGTGCCTTGGTGTTTTGCCTGCATGTATATGTCTGTGTGAGGGTGTCAGATCTTGGAGTTACAGACAGTTGTTAGCTGCCATGCAGATGTTGGGAATTGAACCCGGGTCCTCTGGAAGAGCAGCCACTGTTCTTAATGGCTGAGCCATCTCTCCAGCCCCACCTTTTAATTCTTTAGCTGGCAGAGAAAACAAAGCCAATTAAAACCCCTAGACTGCATCACCAGGCCCACCTGTTCAGGGATCCTTATGGAGGCATTTCCTAAATTAAGATTTTTCCCAGCTGTCGCTAGCTGTGTCAAGCTGACATAAAACTAGCCAGCACAGGGTATTTGCATAGGCTATTCATCCTCCTACCTATCCTATCCGGAGGCCCACATATTCCTGGAAAGTCTGGATCCAGCAACCAGGCCCAGAGGGGCCTGGCCACATAGCTGGCCCTGAGGCCTAGGTCTTAACCCAACCTACTTGGACTATATACTGCCTTTTCACTCTAGTCTTGAGTGCAGCTGTTGTGCAGTTTCAGAATTTGGTACTAAAAATACTCCATGGCCTAGAAGGGCTAACAAGGGATCTGGCCACTTGTGAGTGGGGTTAGTTAGGGCTGTGATGGAGGCTCACTTATAATGTTGGAAGGGGTAGGTCCTCTCAGACCCTGAGAAAAGGCAGCCATCTGATGGACAGGAGGGACCTCTGGGAGTGGGGACATTGCCATCGCCTCCCTGTCTCTTCACAGTACTCCAGAATAAGGGGCTGTGTGGTGAACATGCATTATTTCACCTACCTGGGAAGCAGGTGAGGCAGGCGGCTTGTGTGAACCCAGGAATTTGTGGGAAGCCCAGGCAAATGGTGGTCAGCACTGTTTGTGTCTCTAGGTCCCTAGAACTTGGGGTTTCCAGAGCTTTCCCTCACCAATAGCTCTCCAGGTAGAGTGTCTGCCAGAGGTGTCTGCTTTGAGCAGTCCAAGGGAGCAAGCCTAGAACCTTCCTCTGCCTCCAGAGTGCTGGGACTAAAGGCATGTGACACTGTGCCTGGAAAAGTGTTTAAGTTCTTCGGGGTAGACTTGCTAAGGGTGATATAGTAATTCTATGTTTTAAGTTTTATTGAAGTAAAATGAAATAATTATTATTTTGGTTTTCTGAGACAGGATTTTGTTATGCAGCTCTGGTGTCATGACATAGAACTCACTATTCTGCCTCCAATTTTTAGTGCTGGGATTTTAGGCCTATGCAATAATTTTATATTCATTTATTTAGAGATAGGGTTTTACTCTGTAACCCTAGCTGGCCTAGGACTATGTTGACAAGACTGGCCCGGAACACACAGAGATCTGCCAGCCTCTGCCTTTAAAGTGATCGGAATGAAGGCATGCACCATCCAATGACAGTTTCACTTTAAATACTTCAGTACTAGCTTTACTGCTTCTAATGATGGCTATGGGACTATAAATCCCCACAAAACCCCAGGAAGATCTTTTCATACCGTGACAGCATTAGTTACTGCTTTGTTTGTATAACCTTCTACTGAGCACGGGGATCTTTTAGAAGTGACAATTAGATGGAGGTCCATCTCTGGTATTAATTTTTTCCATCAAGGCGCTATCTAGACAGAACTAGATTGCTGTAGTATTGATCTGGCTGGACCAGGATGGACAGTGTCTGTTGGCGACAGGATTCCCCAGCGTTTATCAGAATATCCAATACACAGTAGGTTCTCAATAAATGGTTAATTAATGGCGTTTCTCTCTTCTACCAAAATTTCAAGTCCCTTTCTAGTGTGCACTTTTGGTGCGGCCTGGCTTAGAACCCTCGGCTGGGTCTTCCCCACAGCACACATCCAGGAAGATCATGACAGGAGCCCGCACATGTTAGCTGGACTCTGGTCTTTTTGGGGGGGCCTGTGGGGGAAGTGGGCCTGGGTTCTCAGAAGCTAACGGGGGCTGGCCCAGCATCTCAGGCCTCCCCCCTGGCGGGTCCCTTTGCGCCTCTTTTCATAGCCCCGCCCCCAGGGCGATCTCGTGGGTCCTTGCTATTGGACCCCCTCTAGATGCTGTCAAGCGACCATTTCTGATTGGCCATAAAACCTCCCACG